TCCACTATTAAGTCAATATAAGTTGAAAACTCCTTTTCGACTTGTGAGTACACATTGACCAAGGATTTCGTTATCGACTTAATTGAATGAAATGTAGATCATAATTTCTTATTATCTAAGAGTGACGAATTCTCTATTGGTTATTTACAACCTTCATACGATTCTTGACATACCCGAACGATGCCGTATTAGCGGCCTTTAGCAGAACAACATCCAACACCGTTAAAGCATGACTGTCCTCATATAAGGTACTATAACGACCTCATGTTAAAGGACCAATCCCACTACCGAAAGTTAGAGATTGACCACTGACACTTAAATAGTTATCCACGTGAAATCTCTCAGCGGGTCTTTAATGTTTTATTCTATAACAAAACATCAACGTGTTCACTTAAGTGTCACTACACTTTAGTTTGTAAGATCAGCCACTTACTTCACAACTAAGAAATGTCACATGTGATGGTCTAATCGTAATAACGATATCCGTATCTCATCATAACTTACGATCACCAATGATTTGAGATTCAATCATATGTAATTTGTATCTCATAATCACAACTTCTTGTGACACTATTATTTGAATCTATGGACACTATTATTTAATTTAATTGAATAATAATTAAATAATAGATCTGCCATAAAATTGCATCAATTATAATTAAAAGTATTTATGTCCAAGGTTGATTGAATTTAGGGCATAACACTTACAAACTCCCACTTACACTAGATCACTTATGTATCCAATATCATAAGAGTTTACATGACGATCATGTTTATGCTGCGAAAACTCTTTGTCAGTGGATCTGCACTATTGTCAATTGTGAGAATTTGTTTATTCTTTAGGTCATTTATTTGTATTATCTCTTCGTTGAGATGATACCTTAGTTCCTTCGCTTGTGCCATGGTTCTATTGTTATCAAAATACTATTGGATGTGATCAACAATGTTAGGAACTACACCAAGTTCATTAATGAACATCTTGATCCATATTGCAACTTCTTGATGCTTTTGAAGCAATCGTGTATTAGGTTATTGTTATTGAATCAACAATTGTTTCATGTTTGGAACCTTTCCAACACACCGTTAAAGAGTAAATCAATTTCTTCATATAAAATTTCTCAAGATTTTATCTATATAGATTGGGATGAACAAAGCAATCTTCTAGACCTATCTCTATAGATCAAGTTGCTTCTCCCATATTCATGAATATATCCATTAACAATCATTATTTCAACGATTGAACACATGGGGATGTAGTTTCTTATAATATTAGGAATGCAACAATGCTCCCACTATCTTCTTGTAAACACACAATTCATCTTCATATTTGATAAAATCAAACATTTTGATTTTTCTATCAAATCGAAGATTTCAGCTCCAAGATACTTGTTTTAACCCATAGTCACGATATGCAACTAATGCAATCAAAATTCGAATGAACTTTAGCATGACTATAGGAGAAATGTTTCGTCAAGGTCAACACATTGTCTTTATTTGTTACCTTTTGCTACTAGCGTTGTTTTGTATGTATGGATATTCCCATTCATGTTAACCTTTTATTGTAAACCATTTAAACCGATAGGTTTATCCCATCAGGAGGGTTGTTCCAGGTCCAAACTTTGTTTACATATATCGAGTTCATCTCGGATTTCATGACCTCTTGTTATTTCTTTTAAGTCAACACTTGACTTTATTTTTTTGTGCAATTAGTAGGTTCATCATCCTGGATCAACAATGCCTGATTAGTAATCATGGATTCACACCTTCTTGAAGGTTGAATGATCCTACTAGATTCACACAAAGTTGACATGTAAGGAGTCTCTACTTTCTGATCAAGAGTATATTCCACATCAGATATGGGATCAAACTCGGATTCATTTACTTGGTTAACTATATCTGTGGATTCTTGAACTCTTTTACGTTCTATTTTGCTCTCACTGTCCTAAAGTAAACATTTTCTCTAGGAGGATGATATATCGTGAGACGAAAATTTTCATCTCAATGGATTAATAGAATTTATATCCAAATATCTTTTTGGATATCCCACAAATATGTATTTATCAGATTTAGTCTCAAACTTCTCCGATTTAATGCACTTCACATAAGCGTCACAGTCCCAAACTTTCATATGAGATAAATTAGGACTATTGCCTTTCCATAGCTCGTATGAAGTTCTATTAACTAATTTAGATGGGACATGATTTAGTGTGCAGCACAATGCAATCAGTACATGACCCCAAAATGATTAGTATTTAGAATATAAATATTATTTTTGTAGCTTACGATAACCATTAAGATTTTAAGCAAGAACAACAAGTGTCCTTAACATTAAAATAGTTCATGTCTGAATATTAAATTCATTTTAATGTTCCAGTTATAGTGGATATAAAGCAACATTTCTCTAATTTCAATACTAAGCCAAAAGGCAACGACAAGAAATATGCTCCTACAGGCAATGCAGCAATCTTTGTTCATTTTCAACGTGTATGTTAACTTCTCTCTCTTGCAATGGTCTATTTCTATTTAGTTTCTCCATATTTGTATAAATATGAGATCCATATTTGGTATCCAATACCTAAGAAACTCATGAAGTAGACGTAAGCCTTGCAATATTTCTTCCAATGACCTTTCATTCTATAATGAAAGAAAGGGTTATTAGACTTGGCATTTGTCATTCGCTTTGACCGTTTCAGCCATATTGGATGCTTCCCAAAAGCCCCTTTAGAGTTCCTCTTAATACCCTTAGATGAATCAATGGTTTGCTCACTTCTAACTTTGATATTGGGCATAACAGTCCTAAGCATGTTAAGCAACTCAATGGGTGTGCGTTCGAACTTATTCATATCGTAATTCATAATTAGTATGAATAACTCTCTGACAGAGATTGCAGAGCTAAGTCAATACTTAGTTCGTAGTTCATGAACCTCTCAATGACAATGAAGTACATGAGCACCGATCGAAGATTGCTCTATCATTTTGCACCGGTATAATTGTTTGGAAGTCTCATATCCTTTCACATATGATTATTATCATACAACTCTTTATAATGAAGAATTACGTGTTAACATCTATACTTTAAGTTGCTTTTGTAACTCATGTCACATAGTTGCAAGCATCACATGTGTACAATACTATCGTCATCACTGTGTTTATTACAATAGTCACATCTTCCTTAATCGAGTCATTAGCAGCTGTCTTTGGAAAGGGCTACTCAAGGATGTAACCACTGAAATTTCTCATGCCTGAGAACAATTTTCAAGTTACCGTGCTAATCAAGAAGATTTAATTTGGTTGTTGGCATGCAGTATCCCACTCAACTACACATGGTTACTCACGATTCAATAAACATAAATGACGAAAAGAAAAAGAATAATATATAAAATGCATCAATTAATTTAACATGGATTTTTATTAAATTAATTATGATCACACTGTTTAATTCAAATTTATAATCCTCTTACATAAATTTATGGAGTCCATACTCGACTCCCAGTGGGCTCGGATCCCATTTGTTATACCAAGATATTGAGTGTACTCAACAAACCTTAATATAACATTTAGATAGATATTATTATCAATTGTATCTCCATACAACTCCTAAATCATTAAACTGACAACTCTTTGTCTTCACACATCTTACGTGTTAGTTTAACATGCCTCTAAAATTTATCTTAATATTTCATAGTATCAGATATATCCCTAATAGACCAGCCTTGAGTGTACTCAACAAGTTAAGACGATTTGGGACTCTGATTTTTCGCTATAATGATTGAAGGTAAATAATAAATTAACTTAATATTTTGTTGAGTGGTTTTTGCATTCAAATGTCTCATCAATATCGATATAATCATATACATAATTTATTATGCATCAAACATGCAAATAAACATATATAATATAATAATAATAATGTGGACGATTATGAATTTTTACTATCTAGTCTTCCCAAGCTATAAGGAAAATTAGTTGGTCAATTCCTAGGGGGTATAGCATTGAATCAATATCAATGCTCCATCTCCATGGTCTTCTACTCTTTTTGTTTCTTCAATTAGTCCAGTTGCAATATGTATCCTATACTAGTTGACACGTAAGCCTAAATGAAATTGGACTCACAAGCACGTAGTAACAATAACAATAATGGACTCTTAGGTCCAAAATGATTAATATCTCACAGACCCATAATAATAACGATAATAACAAGCTCTCGGCCCAAAACAATTAAGAGCTCGCAGACTCATAAAATATCGAGAATAAAATTAACCGTTCAACACATTCACATGGTCGAATCCATAATCGTCCACTAATAATACATTCATCACTTAAATGTATGCCTATATAACATCTAATATTATATGCAAACACGTTTCAAGTTTCTAGTAATTAAGGTCATCTAAACTCTTTTAAACAAATAGATTGGAACAATTAAATAATTAATTAATCATATTAATCAATTAATTTAATTAGTGAACGTATTTAATTAAAATCAAATTTTAATTAAATACTGAATTAGAGTCCAAATCAAATTCCACAATTATAGGTCAAGACTGTTAAATAAAATCAAAATTTAATTAAATATCAAACTAGAGTCTAACTCTAATTTCAAAATTTGAAGCGGTCGAATTTAATCAAAATTAAATTTTAATTAAATAACAAAATTAGAGTTCAACTCTAATTCCAAGAACTGATTCTGGAAATGGAATTGAATTCCGAACTAACGAAATACAATGTGTTGTCGAACATTCAAGAGGCATCACTCTCCCCAACCCATTCCCTAATTTTTGCTGAAATGAAGATATAACTCCCACCACCCTATTTATAGTGAGCTATGCCACTTATTTGCTATCTACCTAATAAACACCTAACTCCTTAACACGCTAACAATTAAACAATGAAAAGAGCTTGCGGCTTCCTATATATTTGATTCTGCGAACCCTTAAAGGAAGTTATCTTTTTTTTTTTTCCCTACTGGTTGATTACTTGTGCTCATCTCTCTTCAACTTTATGATCTTGGGTACTCTTCTGATTAGGAAGACATCATAATGAGTTTGCTGAGTAGAGTGGAAATGCTGTGTGATGAGGCTGACAGAGAATCAGAATCAATCGCTGACGGTGGCAAGGACTCAAGAAATCAGATATCAATAGAGAAACCAGTTCCCCAGCTTAACCTTGGAGCACAGAGGTATCATATTTCCGGCTTAGCTATACATTTTGTCTTACAAAGTACAGAGGTTCTTACTCTTGTTCCATAATCACTAAATTAGTTAGTAACAGGTTTGATGTCATTTAATTGCTGAGATGTCCATAGTTGTATATACTATTCCTCATATTTCTACTACTGGCTACCCTTGCTTGTTTCTAATGAATCTTATTGTTAATCCGTTTTTCAATTAACTCGTGCTGAATTAACTAAAATATCTCTTCACATTCTCATGCTACATGTAGAATGTTTCTAAACCAAAAACAAAGAGAAACACAAGAAAAAAACGAAATACTAAGGAATGTGCTTATATCAGATCCCCTGCATTTGTTGCTTGTATTATCAGGAATTTTATGCTTTACAAACCATGTCTAGTGTAAGTTTATTGAGCGTGAGCCTCTTAGGGTTGCGTGTACATTTGTTTCTCAAATCAGATAAAATTTGCACGTTTTATTAGATGCGATGTTGACGTTGTTCCTTTATTTTTATTTCATTCTTTCTTTGTTCATTACATGCTATATCATTTCCTAATAGACAGGGGCGGAGTCAGGAATCAACGTTACCGGGGGGGTGGGGGGTGTTAAAGAAATCGTAAAAATTTAATGTATGATATATCAAATTGTGATATAACATTAGCTATCCGTTTGTATCCTTAGATTAATCACTCTTTGAAAAGAAAGATAACACGGTTGTTCTGATGCACAAAAAACCAAAACATCTTCAGCATGTATAGATAAAATTCAAAATAGAGACAAGTTGCAACAAAATTGTGGTTGTGTCTAACTAGGCCAAATATGAAACAATTAATGTTTGGGGTGTAGTCATAGAGTGGTAAGCAAATTGAGGGTTCAATGTAAAAGCTTAATATTCTCCAGACTATTGTACTCCCATTGGTGCAAGGCGATTTGGGGTGGACATTATTGGTTGCGGTAATAGTTTTATATTGTAGTGAAACACTAAGGATTGAACTTACCGTTTGTAAAAATTGAATGAATACGATGAATAAGGATTGAACAAAATCTTGATACATGAAGAAGATGATTCTGCGAGATCAATTGATGATTTTTAGAGTTTTGCTTTTCATAAATTCTGCAGATCGACTTGAATGGGAGTGAAATAGGGATTACGACCAATACGACCAAAATTGATGGGAGGATGATTCCAAGATTTTGGTATAATATTGAATATGACTTCTGAATTGGGTAATACGTGGTTTTTTCCCCAGATAGGTCCATTTTGTGAACGTAATGACCGCCTTATTAATTAAACATAATTTAGGAGTGAATACATTCTTCACTTATCATTTTTACTAAACCAAATGCAGTAGTATTTGAAATAAAAATTTGAATTAGTAATAACTGAATATTTTATTAAAAGGGATTATGTGAGGGTAATTTTCACTTAAAACAAATAATTAGTTTTCTTGCCAAGTGGTATTCATTGTTGGTGGGCTATACACTAAATTTAAAACCATTTTTCATAAATTTGTTTTATTTTCTTGGACCTGGACTTTGGGGGGGCTACAGCCTAGTAGAGTTCACTGCCAAATCAGCCCATGCTAATAGAATCATCAGTGTGGAATATTGGATTAAAAAAAAAAAAAAAATCCACAAAGAATGTTTTTTAAGCCTCTCAGGTAGTACCATAGTAGTCTCTTGAAAAATTTCTGAAAGTAATTTTTAGAAGGTTTTTTAAAGTAGTTTTGGTAGTTACGAAAAACGTTTCTAGAAATTCTCCCGAACTTGGCCCTCAGAAAATTTTCAAGTCATTTTTGGTTGTTTAAAGCAGCCAAAATTGGGATGATAGCTTATAGCCCTCTAAAAGAATTGTTTTCCTCCCTATTAGAGTCTTACCATCTTATTATTTTGAACTTGGAAATCTTCTATTCATCTATAAATTTTTTTCATTTCGAGCCTAAACATTTTACATTCAAATCACTGAAATAAAAAAATTAATTTCATTTATAATTTGTTCTCGGATTGAGTAGGGAGCTCAATCTAACACTTGTCTCCCTAATGTATGCTGTTATATCTTTTACTTGGAGGTAGCTATTGGGCTATTTGATCTGACTTGAACTGTTGATTATCATTTCCTGAACAGAAAACAATACAACATTTCATTTCCTCGAAGAGTGTTCATTCCTTGGCTAGAGGGTACATACATTTGTGACTACATAAAGCCCTCCGAGACAGTTGAGGTTTGTTATTGCGACTTTTATGAATATAAGTAATTTTTTTGCTTAGTCCACTGGAGCATATGATATCTCATGGACCTTTGATATATTTTACACTCTTAACAGGCATAGATGATTATAAATGGTTTTATTACAGTTGCTAAGATAGCAAATCTATTGGCATTTAGCGAAGTTGTTGATTCTGACCAGTTTTTAATCTGTTCGAACCTGCCTAATTTATTGTGGCTATCCTGTTGATCACGTACTTGGGACGTATGTGGTAATCTGAAGAGATGTAGCTTACCTCTTACTATTATCATTGTCAGGTTGTGAAAGATAATTGTGTTGACCTGATGTCCATGGAAGCACCAACAGATGCTTCAGAAATTTTGGAGCCAGAATATGAAGCCCCCCCTTTGATAACTTCGACCACCAAATCCTTTTGGGACATTGCAGCTCATGACTCTTCAGCAGCTAAATCAGATAATTCAGTCTCAAAGAGAAATGAAGGGAGTACACACAGAAAATCTGCTAAATCATCTGATTTAAACCCAATGGTAGCTGTTTTGGTTGTGGTTCTCTCTATCATAGTGGGGTTAGTGTTCTTTCTTATTAGGGCAGCATAATAGAAACTGTCATATTCCTGAGCGGTTACAGGGGTTTCAGATTATGGGTGGATAAAATTACTCAGAACCCGTGGAACTACCAAACTGACCGGTCTGGTTCAGTTTTACGTAAAAGTAAATTATTTTTGGTTTCTTAATAATTGAACTAAATCAGTCTAGTTCTCCGTTCTTATTTTGAATTTGAAAATGCGCCGGTTGCCTAGATGTATGTTAGCTCTTGGATCTGTCAACCAATTCATCCCTAACAGTATGACACTGCTAAAATCACTCTGCTAACAACCATTAATTAAATTCAGGGAAAATCACATGGATGATGACAAACTTACATTACATAATTTTATGTTAAAAGTCAGTGTCCTCAATCAATGCCCGGGCATACGCTGAACCGAGATTAATGATCTTGGCAAGAATCTCTTCGGAATGGAGTGACCAAACTGAAACTAAATGTAAGTTGAGTGATTAAATTGAAATGCTTTGAAGATAAGTGACCAATTGAAATTTAGTTGAAAGTTAAGTGCCCAATTGAGCATAGACCTGAAAATTTGCCAGCATCTTCAACAAGTTAGGCATCGATGTACCAAAAATAGGTTATGAAACACCCCTCCACAATAAACTGTGAACTTTCAACTGCCTTGTTATAAAGCTGATGAGGAGAATGAGGATGGATCATGGAGGTCCTTTTAGCTTGATGATGATGATAACAATCTTCCATTCTCCTAGGAGCTAGGGAATGCCAACCTTTCGGACCAATACATACTCCCTAAGATGCCAACGTACGAAGGGGGAAGCGACCTAGAGGAACACCTCAATACCTATAAGATCCAGAAAGGGTTGAGAAGAGCCTCTCCAGCATCGAAGTGTAGAGCCTTCCGTCTAATCCTTTATAAGAGGGAAGGAGAGACCCTAGTTGGCCTCTAAGACATGAGGCATGGAGTTGGTGAAATGTTTAAGATCTACTTAGCCCGTTTAACTGATGTTATGATCTATCTTGAGAACAACTTTGATAAGAAAGCTCTCTTCGTCCTAAAAGGAAGACTAAACCTGAATCGTGTTGGAAATCTACTTAAACGCGCAGCGAAAAATTAAAACAATTTTCGATTCCCACCATGGATCTCTTTGTGTTTAAATAGAAATTGTGACAAAAGTGATACATTTTCTAGATTTGCAAATCCCTTTGCTTTTTCTTTGTTTCAGCAACCTTGATCTGTCTCCCACAACTAGTCTAATTGTTTAGCCTCCAACGGTGATCCATATAGAGAACGAGATTATAGGATTAAAGTTTTCTTCTTGTGCTAGCAATAATAATGAATTATTTACAGATTTTGAAAATTCTAATCATATTTATATAAGCTCGAACGGGCTTGGCATGACTTGGTCCAATATTTAATTAACTCATTTAATTAAATTCGATCCGTGAATTAATTAATCAAATTAATTAATTCAGGCCTATAAATAAGTAACTCAATTAACTAATATAACCAACTCTTGTTAAATTAATTAATTGACAAATCAATCTTCCAGTTCTTCGTTTGTGTACGACTCATCAGGTTCTCAATCACAATGTCTAACGACGTGGAATATTATTTTGATCTAATCAAAATTGATAAATTAAAACACACTTTTTATTTATCACCAATTCACACTCGCCGTCCCAGATTGACATCTAGCAGTGTGTCAGGGCAATATATGTGATGAGAAATATCACGTGATATAACAAAATCAAACTCGTTCGTTTACTGTGAAATTATAATTCCTTTGTCAATATGATCCGATCAATTACGAGATATGGAAGTGTGTCAAGATCGATTATCAATCATATCTTTCACTCCACTATTAAGTCAATATAAGTTGAAAACTCCTTTTCGACTTGTGAGTACACATTGACCAAGGATTTCGTTATCGACTTAATTGAATGAAATGTAGATCATAATTTCTTATTATCTAAGAGTGACGAATTCTCTATTGGTTATTTACAACCTTCATACGATTCTTGACATACCCGAACGATGCCGTATTAGCGGCCTTTAGCAGAACAACATCCAACACCGTTAAAGCATGACTGTCCTCATATAAGGTACTATAACGACCTCATGTTAAAGGACCAATCCCACTACCGAAAGTTAGAGATTGACCACTGACACTTAAATAGTTATCCACGTGAAATCTCTCAGCGGGTCTTTAATGTTTTATTCTATAACAAAACATCAACGTGTTCACTTAAGTGTCACTACACTTTAGTTTGTAAGATCAGCCACTTACTTCACAACTAAGAAATGTCACATGTGATGGTCTAATCGTAATAACGATATCCGTATCTCATCATAACTTACGATCACCAATGATTTGAGATTCAATCATATGTAATTTGTATCTCATAATCACAACTTCTTGTGACACTATTATTTGAATCTATGGACACTATTATTTAATTTAATTGAATAATAATTAAATAATAGATCTGCCATAAAATTGCATCAATTATAATTAAAAGTATTTATGTCCAAGGTTGATTGAATTTAGGGCATAACACTTACAAACTCCCACTTACACTAGATCACTTATGTATCCAATATCATAAGAGTTTACATGACGATCATGTTTATGCTGCGAAAACTCTTTGTCAGTGGATCTGCACTATTGTCAATTGTGAGAATTTGTTTATTCTTTAGGTCATTTATTTGTATTATCTCTTCGTTGAGATGATACCTTAGTTCCTTCGCTTGTGCCATGGTTCTATTGTTATCAAAATACTATTGGATGTGATCAACAATGTTAGGAACTACACCAAGTTCATTAATGAACATCTTGATCCATATTGCAACTTCTTGATGCTTTTGAAGCAATCGTGTATTAGGTTATTGTTATTGAATCAACAATTGTTTCATGTTTGGAACCTTTCCAACACACCGTTAAAGAGTAAATCAATTTCTTCATATAAAATTTCTCAAGATTTTATCTATATAGATTGGGATGAACAAAGCAATCTTCTAGACCTATCTCTATAGATCAAGTTGCTTCTCCCATATTCATGAATATATCCATTAACAATCATTATTTCAACGATTGAACACATGGGGATGTAGTTTCTTATAATATTAGGAATGCAACAATGCTCCCACTATCTTCTTGTAAACACACAATTCATCTTCATATTTGATAAAATCAAACATTTTGATTTTTCTATCAAATCGAAGATTTCAGCTCCAAGATACTTGTTTTAACCCATAGTCACGATATGCAACTAATGCAATCAAAATTCGAATGAACTTTAGCATGACTATAGGAGAAATGTTTCGTCAAGGTCAACACATTGTCTTTATTTGTTACCTTTTGCTACTAGCGTTGTTTTGTATGTATGGATATTCCCATTCATGTTAACCTTTTATTGTAAACCATTTAAACCGATAGGTTTATCCCATCAGGAGGGTTGTTCCAGGTCCAAACTTTGTTTACATATATCGAGTTCATCTCGGATTTCATGACCTCTTGTTATTTCTTTTAAGTCAACACTTGACTTTATTTTTTTGTGCAATTAGTAGGTTCATCATCCTGGATCAACAATGCCTGATTAGTAATCATGGATTCACACCTTCTTGAAGGTTGAATGATCCTACTAGATTCACACAAAGTTGACATGTAAGGAGTCTCTACTTTCTGATCAAGAGTATATTCCACATCAGATATGGGATCAAACTCGGATTCATTTACTTGGTTAACTATATCTGTGGATTCTTGAACTCTTTTACGTTCTATTTTGCTCTCACTGTCCTAAAGTAAACATTTTCTCTAGGAGGATGATATATCGTGAGACGAAAATTTTCATCTCAATGGATTAATAGAATTTATATCCAAATATCTTTTTGGATATCCCACAAATATGTATTTATCAGATTTAGTCTCAAACTTCTCCGATTTAATGCACTTCACATAAGCGTCACAGTCCCAAACTTTCATATGAGATAAATTAGGACTATTGCCTTTCCATAGCTCGTATGAAGTTCTATTAACTAATTTAGATGGGACATGATTTAGTGTGCAGCACAATGCAATCAGTACATGACCCCAAAATGATTAGTATTTAGAATATAAATATTATTTTTGTAGCTTACGATAACCATTAAGATTTTAAGCAAGAACAACAAGTGTCCTTAACATTAAAATAGTTCATGTCTGAATATTAAATTCATTTTAATGTTCCAGTTATAGTGGATATAAAGCAACATTTCTCTAATTTCAATACTAAGCCAAAAGGCAACGACAAGAAATATGCTCCTACAGGCAATGCAGCAATCTTTGTTCATTTTCAACGTGTATGTTAACTTCTCTCTCTTGCAATGGTCTATTTCTATTTAGTTTCTCCATATTTGTATAAATATGAGATCCATATTTGGTATCCAATACCTAAGAAACTCATGAAGTAGACGTAAGCCTTGCAATATTTCTTCCAATGACCTTTCATTCTATAATGAAAGAAAGGGTTATTAGACTTGGCATTTGTCATTCGCTTTGACCGTTTCAGCCATATTGGATGCTTCCCAAAAGCCCCTTTAGAGTTCCTCTTAATACCCTTAGATGAATCAATGGTTTGCTCACTTCTAACTTTGATATTGGGCATAACAGTCCTAAGCATGTTAAGCAACTCAATGGGTGTGCGTTCGAACTTATTCATATCGTAATTCATAATTAGTATGAATAACTCTCTGACAGAGATTGCAGAGCTAAGTCAATACTTAGTTCGTAGTTCATGAACCTCTCAATGACAATGAAGTACATGAGCACCGATCGAAGATTGCTCTATCATTTTGCACCGGTATAATTGTTTGGAAGTCTCATATCCTTTCACATATGATTATTATCATACAACTCTTTATAATGAAGAATTACGTGTTAACATCTATACTTTAAGTTGCTTTTGTAACTCATGTCACATAGTTGCAAGCATCACATGTGTACAATACTATCGTCATCACTGTGTTTATTACAATAGTCACATCTTCCTTAATCGAGTCATTAGCAGCTGTCTTTGGAAAGGGCTACTCAAGGATGTAACCACTGAAATTTCTCATGCCTGAGAACAATTTTCAAGTTACCGTGCTAATCAAGAAGATTTAATTTGGTTGTTGGCATGCAGTATCCCACTCAACTACACATGGTTACTCACGATTCAATAAA